CAAAATTACTCTTAAATACTATAAATACGTCTAACAGTTAATAAATATTTTTAAATCTATGGAATAATTTTAAAACCTAACAAACCTCCGTAAAATAATTATTTAAGTTAAAAATCTAAAACTAAAAGAAAGTATTTTTGTTCAATTTTATTGACAACTTTGCTATTGCTGAATAATTTTATTAAAATGTTAGCTTAAAAAGATTTAAACTTTTTTTTTAATCTGAATTTTTTTTTTTTTTTTTTATTGTAGTTTAATCTGAATTTTTTCTACTTGTAAATAATGAGCATATTTAATTTTTTTTGTTATTCAAACTTTTATATCAACTGCGTGCGGTTTTTAAAATACTTTATTAAATGTTAAAATAATTGAAAATTACTTTAATAACATTCCACTCAAAAATATCTTTAAATATACTCAAACAAAAAATTTTTTGCTCGACGCAAGTAGCCACGCAAAATCACTCTTAGACGACGTAAAATTCACATCGTCCGACGCTTTATCGCAAGGCCTGATATATATATATATATATATATATATATATATATATATATATATATATATATATATATATATATATATATATATATATATATATATATATATATATATATATATATATATATACACACACATATATGTAGTATAATATTAAAACTAGTATATTATAAAAAATAAAATTTTAGCGCTTGCTGGTGGAAAGAGCAAGTGTTTTTAATAAATATTTTTAATAGAAGGTATACTTTCAATTAAAGTTTTTTTCTATTAAATTAACTTTAATAAAAAAAACATCAATAGAAGGTATACCTCAGACCCATAGCAACCGGGTGGGCAGCAGGGGCACTTGCCCCCCCCCCCCCCAATAAATTTTCAAATAAATAATTTTGAAAAAATTAATTGAAAAAATCACTTCTATTAAAGATATTTTAATTTTTATTTCCATTTTTTATTTCAATTTCAAATATGTGCATGATTTACAAATGTTTTTTCAGTCAGTTTAATTAGTTAACAAAAAACAGGTTTATTAAATTACAAAATTTTCTTAACGCCCGCTTCATTATTGAAGTCATGCATATTTATATATTTTCCTAATTATTTTTTTTTACTTATACTGTGTTAGGATTTTAAGGTATTATTTTATAATTTAAAGTACATAGGTTCATTAATTTTGAAAGTTTTAGATAAGATTTAATATAAAAAAATTAATTTAAAACATGTTTGTAACTTAATTTTAGGTTCATTAATATATTAAATATTTTAGTTATATTATCACTAAACTAATCATTTTTAAGTGTTTGATAAGTACTTAAAAAGTATTCGTAGCGTTTTTAGTAGCATTTTTTTCTATTCAATCCCGAGATTTCCCGGGGACAAATTTATCAATCCCGAAATCCTGGGATTGAAAATTTCCGGGATTTTTGTCATCCTTACTCAGAACAAATTGTACCTTGAATGTTTGCTTTAGATCACACACATACATACTAGTTTAGATGGTTTCCAATTTTTCTTGTTACCATGAACATGCTCCTTCATAAACACCATGAGGTTTATACCTCAACAGTTCTGCAAAAGTTTTTTCACATTTCAAATAAGAAGCCTTTTTTTTATCTATAGCTATAGATCAAGCCCATGAACAAAACATCAGAACCATAAAAGGAGAAGGCAGCTAAATTAATGCTTTAGATTGAGTTTTTAGTGAGCCACTGCTGAGCTTCTAGAGGGATTTGGAGCGATATGAAGATGCACCTGTCTTTGAAAAGAATTATAATGAACATGTATCAGAGTTTCTTAAAGTTAAAAAAGGTTTTGGAAATCCATTTTAGTAAATCAACATAAGTATTACCTAATGCAGAAGCTAGGGCATCCATCAAAAAAATTAAGCAAACGGGTGTTAAGTCATCCAAATATTATACTTAGAATAGTTAAACAAATGGAAAGGATTTAATATGTTAAACAATCCCAAAGATTTAAAAGATTATTTCAGCATGAAAATTAGTCTTATCCAACAGCAATACCTGAATTCAGTAAAATCCAAAAAACTAATAAAATGGAGCACCTTAAATGCTTTGAAGAGTATTTGGTACTTATTTTGACTTCCCCTGAAGGTATCATTGCAAACGTGTTAGATGAAGGAGCAATTGTTTATATATTTCATCCAGTAAATTCAAAGACATTCAAAGAGTGCTCTAAAATTGAGTTTTTAGAAAAAATAATTAATATCACATCAACAAAACATTAAGAAATAAAAAGGATTGACTTTGTGTTATTCTTATTTTTAATGTAGTTTAAAAACCCAGACCAGGGAGACTTGTGGACATGGTGTGAGAGTATGTGTTTCTAATTCAACTCCCATTTGGAAAAATTGGTCACAGTTCTTACTAATAGATGTAAACAAAAATGAGTAGTTTAAAATTCTTGCAACAAACTTTGACCAAGTACTGACATTAGACTTTTATTAAGAACATTAGATGAAACTGCTTTGTCCAATTTTACACCTTGTAACAATGAGGAAACTGAGACTAGAATTTTGCTCATGCTAAAATACAGTTGGCAGTGGCCACCAAGTTGACTGTATTTAAAAAGACACAGATGTTGTTGCAATCTCAATTTCCGTTTTAAACAATTAAATGAATAGATTTTGGAGTTGGAAAACTTAAGCAATGACTTCACTATACCACACAATTCACTATTACACACAAAAGATAGGTGAAAAAGCAGAAGCTGTTTCAATGTGGTTTGCATTCACTAGCTGTGATACCATGTCTTCATTTGCAAGATGGAGAAAAAAACTTGCATGCAATCTCTGGAACAATGGAGATCAAGAAATAATTAGAGCACTTTGCACCTTTGTTTTTTTGTATAAAAAAGAAATAATTTTAGATTTATTAGCTGCTAATTTCTAAAAATATTTTCTTATTGGCTGCTTTTTCATGCAAAATTAGTAGAATATGTTATTTTATTTTATTATTTAGTTTTTCATCTTTAAATATTAGAGTAATTTCACCTGATGCACTGCTGAAGTTTGAGTGCTAAACTGTTCTACTTCATAATAAGACAAGTTCCATTACTGACCTCACTATATTCCCAAGAAAAAAAACTTTTTTGTTCACTAAAAAGTCACAGCAGAGTGAGGGGTTATTATCTACAAATTTTTTTAAATACTTGAATGGACTTCTTAACCTATTCAAAAAACTTTATTTAACCAAACATTTAAAAATGATATTTACATACAATTATTTATTTAGTAACATTTGGGGACAATCGTTTGTGCCACAACAAATCTTACCTGAAGTAAAAAAGTTTACTTTTTTTTTAATTAATTAAAGAATTACTAAATAGATTTAGAAAAAATAAATAACACAATGAGATATAAATATTGTTTTTAGAAATTGACGGTTGTGCCCATCCACTTCGAAACCCATGCCATAAGCCCTGGTAAAGGCAAATGTTCAGGATTATCCTGCACATAGTCGTGCGTGTTCTGGTCTGTGTTTAAAATAAATGAACAAACCTCATTTTCATTAACTTTTAACCAAATTTTGTAATATTTTAGTTCTATTTCTTTAAAAAAAAATATATATATATATATATATATATATATATATATATATAAATTTTTTTTATGCTTTTAACCATATTATATTTAATAATGTGGTACAGCTGTTTATTTGAAATTATTTCTTCTTTAAATTCTGCTCTTAATACAACCTTATATTGTTGATGTAGAAGATTATATAGTTTTTAAAGTTTTAACTCAGATGGGGGTTGACCTATGATCCACTTTGAAACCCATGCCATAAGCCCTGGTAAAGGCAAATGTTCAGGATTATCCTGCACATAGTCGTGCGTGTTCTGGTCTGTGTTTAAAATAAATGAACAAACCTCATTTTCATTAACTTTTAACCAAATTTTGTAATATTTTAGTTCTATTTCTTTAAAAAAAAAAATATATATATATATATATATATATATATATATAAATTTTTTTTATGCTTTTAACCATATTATATTTAATAATGTGGTACAGCTGTTTATTTGAAATTATTTCTTCTTTGAATTCTGCTCTTAATACAACCTTATATTGTTGATTTAGAAGATTATATAGTTTTTAAAGTTTTAACTCAGATGGGGGTTGACCTATGACCAAAAAAATATTTTTAAAATAGGGTCTTTTTTTTTCATTCTTTTAGTTAATATACAACTTCCTGAAAGTTTAAAGCTGGTATCACAATTTGAACCATTTTACTGAGTTTTAACTCTTATTTCCCTAACTAATAAAACATATATCTAAATATAAAACAATTATAAAATATGATAATATAATTTTATAATTATACTTCTAATTATAGTTTAATAATACTTTAATATGACTACACGTTAACTAATGTGGCTAGCATAGATACTAAAATAAAATGGACTGAAAATATCTAAATAAATTAACTTTTAGTAAAAGTTAGGGTATTGTTAAAATTAGTCAAATTTGTTTATTAATATTAAAGTTTGCTTTTTTATTCAAAATCTAGCGTGCAATCTAGCAGTCAAATGATTATTCAGATTCATGATTTTTACTTGTTTTAAAATTATTAGACACATTGAATTTTATTTCAATGTGTCTAATAATTTTAAAAAGGAACATAACTAATATAACAACAAATATTTGGTTTCAAAAAATCTATATAAAATAAACAATTCTTCATTAAATTTTTCAATTAATTATTATAACTAGTTCTCTTATTTTATGCTTAAATTGTATCTAAATTCCTATATAGAAAGCTGTCGAGCTTATTTATTTTAATATCATTGTTAGTAATATACTTTTTTAAATACAAATGAGATTGATTTTCTATTTATTTTAGTGGTCAATTCATAAGAAATATTGTTTTAGAAAGTAAAAAATTTTTTGAAAAGTAAGCCTAAAGGGAAAAAAAATGAATAAAGCAACATCTAGAAAAAAGTTACCTGTTTTAGGTAAAATATAAAAACATTATTTTTAAACTAACCTTGTTAAAATTTTATTTTTCCATAAATGATCATTCTGACAAACAATATAAAATCTTCTACAGCATTTTGATAAGTTTATCAAGTCCTTGTAATCGATATTATTTTGATTAAAAATATACTCTAGCAATTCTTTTGCAAATTCATCTAATTTAACGTAACTGACTGGCATAACACCTTTTAAATTTATTCCCCCTGATATACTCTTGTTTACATATATTTTCATTGAAAATTAGTATTCCGGTCTTATAAAATACCGAACTTCTTGTTTCAATCCGGTTAGATGATTTATATGTTCACGGATATGTTCGGACTATTGTAATTGTAATTGTAAAAATTAAATACAATAACAATTACAATACAATAATATTGTATTGTAATACAATAATATTGTATTGTAATACCAGAGATGTAATTAAAACATTATTTATGGTTATTGTATTGCTGTGATGTAAAATAATGATCCTCAAGGGAACTCCGGGAACGGTAATTCCTGGCAATCTTGTTGGTCAATTCCCGTTCTCGTTCCCGTTTTTTTTTCGAGAAATTCCCGGGAATTTTTTTTAAATACAATTATGTAGATTATCATTTTTTAAAGATATATTTAAAGTTTATAGTTGTAATTGCATGTATAATTAAAGTTTAAAACTTTTTTTATACTTGGAAATACAATTTACAGGTGTTAAAATAGTTTTAATCTTTAAATATAACCGCAATTGTATGTATCAAAATGAATCTTCATAAATTTTACTCTAAAGTTTACCTGAAGTTGGTAGTGCAATTATTGCAATATAATAATAAAAACAATAAAAATAAATTTTTATACAAACAGCGTTTTTCTAGCGCCCTAAAAAGTAAAAAATAATTTTTCTTTGAGTTTGTCAGAATGTCTGATTATATTTCTCTTATCATGATGACAGATTTTATAACAAATTTGATACACGTATTACGAAAAACGTTGGGCACAGTGTAGATATATTGATCTGATGCCAGAGAGGACACAGAATCAGACGATGAAGAGGAGGCCGATTCACTTCAAATGGTTTTCGCTTATCAATCAACGATCACCAAATTGAGAAAAATCGTGAGCTTCTTCCATCGATCATCGGTTAAAAATGAAATTCTTCGAAAATTCGTTAAGAGGATGAACAATGGGAGAAAACTTAAGCTGAAGTTAGATTCAAAGACTCGTTGCGGCAGCCTTCATGATGCTTGCGAAAGTTTCTTGAAATTACTTGGACCGGTAAAGGAAGCTCTGAACCACAGGGAGATTGACAAAACCTACTTATGGGTAGATATCGACTCAAAAAGATTGGAGGAGCTAGTAGAAGTTCTGAGTCGATGACTGTGGGGAAATGATGACTGTGGGGAACAACCTGAACAGCAAAAAGAACCATCAGCATCAACATCACAGCAGGTTCAAAGAAGTTAAGCTGAGCAAATGACACTTGAAAGCTTCAAGAGAGGTCACCAACAAGCAGGCGGGCAAAGTTATTGACTACAAAAAGGAGATGCAGATGTATGTGAAAACAAAAGTACGCTCACTAACTCTGAATAAACTTTTCGAGGGACTGAATACAATACAATCAACATCAGTAGCTGCTGAACGTCGTTTTTCGGAAGCAAATATTCTTGTTAGCAAAGTTCGCAACCGTCTTTGTGATGAGAACATCAATGTTATTTTTTTTCTTAAATGTTATTTCCGAAATAAATTAATAAAGTAGATTTAAACATAAATTTTGAGTTCTTTGTATTGTTTTTGGTATTTTTCGATTAAAAACTTTCAGGTTTTAGAAAGAAAAAAAATATTGAAAAGCTCATTCCCGGTACGGTAATTCCCGGGAATGAGCTTTTTCATTCCCGATATACCCGAAATTGAAATTCCCGGGAACTTGAGGATCACTGATGTAAAACAATTACAATAACTATTTTATTGTATTGCTGGGATAAAAAATAATTACAATAAGCACTCTGGTGTAAAAGCGAAAAAGAATTATCTCCAATTTTGGTCAAAATTGAGATATTGCTACCAATGGTTAACAATGTGGTTTTATACCATTTTTTGCAACAAAAAAGCAGTATATCCAATATTTAACATTGAAAATGAGCATTTGAAATTAAGAAAATAAACAGTAAGTCCATAATTTTTGTGAAACTAGAAGCAAAAATACAGTAAATCCCAATAAGTAGCAAATAAGCAGTAAGTTAAAAAAAATTACTATATAAACGTTTATTTTAGGATTGTATGTTAATTATGCTTGGTACACGGATCAGTAATGTGTCTAAACTTGTTTAGTCGATTTTTTGACATTTTGCTTGGATGGAGATACTGCTTTTTTGCTTAGCATGGCAGAATAGCTATTGTATCTTATACTACATATGTATTTAGATTCTTTTTTAACGCATTTATTATTATTTTGGCACTAGAAAATTTAGAGGTGCCCATGACGCTCGTTTTTTGCAGTCATTTATATATATATAGATAAATTTTATTTTTGAGAAGTTAAGTAAAGCCAGGAAAGCTATAGATGTATATATATTACGTATAGGGGAAAGCAGCGCAGCATAGCGAATGGGGCAAGATGGGTTTTCATATAACAACTCAACAAAAAATTTTAAAATTGGGTGAAAACGAAACTGTATTTGCATCTTGTATTTTAAAACACCAATTTGTTTTTTAAAATATTATTAATGCAATTTTATACGCGTAAGTTTACTTTTTGCGCTTAAAAAAAATTCCTCAGTTTTGGTTTCTCATAACGGATGGTGTCTTTCAAGTTTAACTTCTTTAGAAGTACTTTTTTTCGATTTGTGTTTATTTTGTATTACTTTAGTTAGAGTTATTGTTAGTTTTTAAAAATTTTCAAAATTGAAGGCAAAAATTGCATAATAAGTCATCTTGCCCCAGTCACATGACTAGATGACAAGTTGATGAAATTTTTATTATAATATTTATTTCAAATTGTTATATTTGCAAACTAAAAATTCACGGAAGCAATGAATCATTTTAATAACATAAAAATACTCAGAAAGTATTATTGCTTCACGACCAATAGTTTTGCAAAAACTTAGGGCTTTCAAAACATTTGCCATGTTGCCCTACTTTCCCCTACTTAATAAATATTTTTTCAACGCAAGCATTCAACAAGAGCGGACGCGATTTTACCACCAGGAGAATTTAAAAAAACAAAAAACATTTAGATTACTTTACATTTGAAAAAATATTCAAGTTTAATCTAAAAAAACTATTTTTATTTTATTACGTATATTATACTATGGCAGTAACACTTTCTGAAATAAAAAAAAATGTTAAAAGAAATGTTTAAAGAATTCAAAAAAGAAACTGAAGAAATGTTTTGTAAACAGGAGAAAACTGTTATTGATATTATTGGCGCTAATTTAAAAATAATTAACGACAGAATGGACAAAGCAGAGTTAAACATCAACGTTAATGCAAACAAAATTAAAGAACTTACAAAAGAATTGGAAGATATGAAGCATAGTCTAAACTACAACGAAGAACTAATTGACAAAAAAATTTATAACAACAATAAACAACTAGATAAAAAATTCGCACATAATAATATAGAAAAATTTAAGAAGGAAAAACAACGAAACCAATGCAAGTCTAATGCTTTATTAAGGTTATGTAACCTACAAAAAAAGCTTTAAAAATAAAATTCTTTCAACAGTATCATTCTAACTCTGACATTCTTTACCCGGTGGAATACCGGGTAGAGAAAAGCTAGCTGTAATCGTAACGATAAAGACAGCGATTTGGCCACGAAGACAGCTAGCGTAATAAGCTAAAGACCCACAGGCTTTTGTAGCTAGCGTCATATCGTAATAAAATTTCTGTCTAAAAAATTTTAATATGCAGCTATCAACCTGCTATAGATATGTAGATATTTTGTAGCTAGCTACAAAGCTACGATATGTAGCTAGCGACACATTACTACAAAATCGCAAAGTTTAAAGTTTAATTATTCTCATAATTATAATAGACTCAACACTAAAAATTGAATTTTTAAAGATGGTAAAGACATTTGGAAAAAAAAATAATAAGAAAAAAAAAATCGCTACAAAATCGCTATAAAGCTAGCTAATCGCTCGCTAGTCGCTAGCTCATTTCCCACCGGGTACTTTCTATCAATAATACTCAAACTATATGATCTTGTTTATTTATTAAATTGTCTATTTGTCTGGAATCATAAACAAGTAAACCTCCCTCCGTCATTCTCCAATTTTTTTATCACTAATAAAAGTTCTCGTGATTACCTTCGATCTTTGAGTAACTTTAAATTATCTATCCCAAATCGCTGTTCGGTAAAATACCGTGACAAACCAATGCGTAAAATCGTGGAATAATTTACCTTTTCATTTTCAATCCCTTAACTCTTTTTCACAATTTAAAACCCGTCTTTTTGACTTTTTGATAGAAAAATACTCTAATTAAAATCTTTGGCTTATAATAGATTATTATTACTATTGTTATTACTATGATTATTATATGCGATGTTAATATTACTTACATTTTATTTACATTTTTATTACCGTCATTATTACTTATTAAAATTGTTTAATATATAAATGTACATTTGTTAATATTATTATTGTTATTATTGCTATTGTTATTATTGCTATTGTTATTGTTGTTGTTTTTATAATTATTAATATAATTATTATTATTGTCATTATTATATTTAATAGTATTATTGATATTATTTTAATCGTCTTCATTTAATTTACATTATTATTATTATTATATGATTGCTATTATTATTTAATTGGTATTTACCTTAGATTAGTATCTGTACTATTAGTAAACAACCATATAATGTAAACTTTTATTTCAGAATATATATTGTTATTGTTGTTATTGTTATTGTTGAAACCTGGAAGATAGATCAAGAAGAAACAAGCTACGAATCGATGGAGTTGATGAAACTGGACAAGAATCATGGGGAGACTCTGAATTAAAAGTTCACACATTCTTCTTACAAAAACATGGACTGAAAAATATCGGCATTTAACGTGCCCACCGCACTGGATTGAAGAATGATGGACGACCGAGGAGAATAGTACTTAACCTGCAGAAATACAAAGACAAAGTAAGAATCTTGAAATAATCTAATCTACTAAAAGGCACAAGTTTTTTCATTAACGAAGACTTTTCTCGTGAGACCGTTGCTATTCGGAAAAAGTTATTTGCGGAAGTAAAACAAAGGCGTTAAAATG